AAACGTGTGTATTTCTGAATAGCACAAATGACAGGAAAAGAAGAAACATCTTTCAAGTGACGCTCTTCTCACAGTTATTTGGCACTCCAAACTGTAAAAGCATTTGGGTTAGTTTAAAATGCCTTTAGATACAAATTACCTTAGTAGCCTACTTATTCTGTCAATTTTCAGTTATGGATGCACCCCCTGTGTGGATTTGCAAAGAGGTATCAATGTATGATCATGGTTGTAACAACAATAATCTGAGTTCTTGTTGCGAGCGGCTTGGAAGTTGTTTTTGCTGGCTGAAGATTCCAAATTGGCTGTGGCAAAGCTCTGAGTCTTGGGCAGAACCAAACAGCTGTTTCCATGATTAGGTGCAAAATGGGCTGTGTGGCTACTCAATCTCCTGGCAGTATGAAATAGCTCCTGTGAGTATAAATGGTTTCTTTCAGCAACACGTAGACTCTAGTGGGGACTAAGAAGCTGGTTTATAAAACAGTACGAGGTCTGCTAATTTCACTTCATCATGCTGCTCCTGAAGAGTGTGAATCCTGTGGTGCTCTCTGGAAAGCCCAGGAAACACTTCCAACTGTGCATTTTTTTAATTGAGAAATTAAAATTTAGGAAAATCAAGGCAGACTCTCCAGTCTCACCTTGGTGAGCACTAGAAAATCTTCAAGTAATTAGGTCTGAACCTACTTTTGAGTTTTGTGTGGCTTTTTTTTTAAACAGAACTATATGAAAAGAAATAGTGTTATGCTGCTGAAGATCTATCTTCCTATTCATAGCTGGCTTTTCTAGATAGAGTAACAATAGAGCACATAAAAGCTCGCTATAATTTTATTAAAAACAAGTAATCAAGATACTTAAAATGCCAACACCACCTATTCCCCTCAAAGAAACTTGAAGCAGCCTTTATTTACCCTGATGAACTACACCCAAAAAAAAAAGTGATAGGAACTGAGGGAACAGCATAAAGCTGAGGCAGGGGAAGTTTATTTTGGATTTTAGGAAAAGGTTCTTCCCCCAGAGGGTGGTCAGGCACTGGAACAGGCTCCCCAGGGTCACAGCACAAAGGCTGACAGAGTTTAAGGAGCATTTGGACAATGCTCTCAGGCACAGGGTGTGACTCTTGGGGTGTCCTGTGCAGGGCCAGGAGTTGGACTCGATGATCCTGATGGGTCCCTTTCAACTCGGGATATTCTATGAGAAGTATATCTCTCCTCAACAAATTGCCATGAAATAGGCTTTACTGGTTTAACAACACTGTGACTTTATCTCTTTTTCATTAACTATTTTTTCTCCCCAAGTCTTTTGATATGTTTGTTATGATATGCAGTATGTCACTGCTACAGAAATCTTGGAGCTTGTAAGGAAGTTTAAACCCCAAGAGACTCTCTGATCAAATAAGGTCACACCAGCAGTTATGATGCTCATCAAATGCACTTTTTTCATCTTCATCCACATCTCAAGTGTTGTATCAGAAGCTGCTTCAAAAGAGCAGGAGGATGGAAGTTCTTTTGGAAACTTTTGTACTGCACTGTAGACTGCATGTCTACAGAACAGAAAAAAAATCTTTCTAAAGCAGCAACAGAACTAAAATCCACCAGTCTTTGCTATAACTTTTTTATTGTTGTCTCTAGTGAAAATTTTCAAGAGATGATTTCACTGTCCTCTTTTAACATCTTCTTTCTGCTGAAGTAGCTGATATACAAGAAAGAAATTTAGCTGTTGGACAACTGTAATTCTTAAGTCAGCATGTTCTGTTTGGTTTCACTAAGTGAGAAGAACCTTAAATATGCTCTCCCTTCTGTGCCCTTTTTGATCACAGTATTAGGATGGGCCTGAAATCCAGCCAGCTTTTCTCTCTTTTGAGCTTCAAATCAAGATGAAAACCCACTGTGGAAGCTCATCTTGTAGGCAGTGCTTTCAAAAATCTTTGCTTTCAAAAATGGAGAATGATATTATTGGTGTATCACTCTTTAGGCAACTGTTCTGGCTGCTGTTGTAGATGCCATACAGGTTTGGAACAAAAATTAGGTTTCAGCCCCGTAGGCTATAAAATATCTCTGCAAATTGCAAAACAGTAGCTTGAAACAGAATGAAGTGCAGCATGTCCAATGGACTAAGCAAAATTCAAGCCAAAACTGCTGCCAGGTAATCACTGTAATTTATAAATATGTGTTCTACACATAGAGGCACCTACTGGCTGTGTTGAACAGATACTGCACAGAGCACGCAGTGGCACAGAGGTACAAGGGGTTGGAAGACTCAAAGAAAACTGAAACTATTTTATGTCAACTAAGCAGCATTGTTTTCCTTCTTCACAAGTGCCATGCTAGATGCAATACCTTTATTTCTATGTTCAGACATTGGAGTTGTAACTTACAGGGACCCCAGTGAACCATCCCATGTGCTCTCACTACATTGAGGAATGGCAAAGCTTCTGTAGGAGTCTTGAGTCCAGAAATGTTTGACCATTGCCATCAGCATCCCAGCACACTTTGCTTCCTCCAGGGCAGAAAATGGTGCTACTTGCTCCCTTCAGAGGAGTCATAAAGAATAAAGGAAGCGCCTTCATGGGACTTCTTGAATTGCTGAACATATTGCCAGGGAGTAGCTTGTCTCTAAACCAGTGGGAGATATCCAGCACAAACAGATGGCCAATCTTCATTCAGATCTGTGCTGTGTAGCACACAACAGTTTTCTCTCTTCTCTTTTTACCACATTCTCATTTCAGTCAGATTAGGGACGAGGCTGTGCATAGCAGCCTGTGACTGCCTGGGCACTGCCTGGCCATCTTCTGCCAGAACTACCTGGCCTGTTGCTTTAGATACAGAGATTAATTCTTCCCCTCCTTTGCTAGACCACACAAAAGGATCTCCTGACAATGTTTTTGTGCTGGGATTCAGCTTGTGGGGGCTCTTCCGAGGAATAAAGGATGGAGAATGGACTAGTAACCTCTAGCAATTTCCAGCTTTATCCCTGAGGACAGAATTAGCCTTCTTGATTGCCTTGTAAGAGGATATGTGTGTTTGATGAGGTGCTTTGCAGGGTTTAGCCCCAGATACACGTTCATGAGCCAGTGTGAATGCAGCAGTTCATTGTGAATGCAAACCTGTGTGTACTGCTGAGGTTTACACACACACACGCCTCCCCCCCCTTCACTAAAGAGCACTGAAAACATCTGATCTTTACTTCTTCCCTTCCCATCCTTCCCTTTCTGGGACCAGCACAGTGGCATAAGTAGAGTCAGGTTCCAGAATTTTCCTGTGTCGTGCAGGATTGATGTACCAGAGTGGACAAAGTCTGTGTGTGTGCAGTTGGGAACTCACAGCAGACGGTTCACACTACAGGTGGCAGAGTTCTCATGGGAAAAGGATAGCACAGCTGAAGTTCTGCCAGGATGTTCTCTCAGATGCAGCCTCAGTGCCTCACCATGATACCCTACCAGCTCCTTCTACCCAGTATCTTTTTTTTCAAAACAGTTTTCAAAATTTTCCATTCCAAGAAAAAACACCCTAAAAAACTTCTTGCGAACAAGTTTGCCGAATTTACCAAAGGAGGAGGATGATTTCAGCTGGTTATAGTCCTGTATTTGTTCTAAATAAATCAGATATTGACTACAGAAACATCTTTAGTTTCTCTTGTTTAGAGCCCAGGCTGATAGTTAACCTCTCAAAAACTTTCAAATAAAACTCAGCTGAAGAAATGTTTGCTTTCCCCAGACTCTGAAAATGTCCAGGGTTTTTTATTTAGTGGTTTTGTGGTGGTGTTTTTTGGCATACTGTATTGCATACCTCCCTGTGGTCTTTAAATTACCTGGTCATCAAGAAGGCATTTACATTCCTGTTAAAATAAGTGCACTCAGAGGTGCCAACAGAAAATTATGCGTAAGGATATAGTTTATGTACACAGGTTGCAATCTAATAAAAATCCAGTCACTTCATGTTCCTAGGTCTGTGAATATTTATCATCATAAGCAAGTAGCAGAGAGAGGCTGGGCTGAGGAAATAAGGGATAGTAGAGGAAATCATTGTAACCAATAGAAGACAAACCTCCTTAGTGAAAACAGGTTCTTGCAAAATCCCAGGTAAAAGCTGCTGACAGTTTCCTTTGTCTCTCTAAGTGGCCCTGACCTAAACCAGTCCCATAAATTAAGGTGCCTAAGAACAATATGTAACAGAACAGACATTCTGCCAGCTCCTCACTGGTGCCCGGTAAGGATCCCATCATTTTGTATAAAAGCAGCTGGGGGAGATAATTGTGTGGCTAAGGGAGCATCAGCAGGTTGCAAGAAATCATTAGTCACCTCTGCAATACACCTGGTAAATTATTAGTACATTTAAACAGAGCTGTTCCTCTCAGTACTGCAGTGTAGGATACAGACAGCTTCAAGGCTCTGAACATAATCAGCAGACGTGTGTCAGCAATTAGGAAGCAAGCTGTTTTCTAGTACAAAATCAAGGCAGAAGAGCTGCAATTGTGGCTGGAAGTAGGCTGTGCTTCCATGATTTTACCAGGCACCTGCAGCCTGACACACCAAGCTGATCTGACGTTCAGCACAAGGATCCAGTTCTTTCCAGTCACCCACCATGTGCTGTAGGAAGTCTGAATGGGTTTCAAGTTGTCAAGTCGACTGTAGAACAGCAAATGACGCCAGGTCAACCATAATGATACAATGGCAAGGTTGGATGAGGCACTGGGAGAAACTCTATGGTACAAAGCTAACTCTTCAGGTACAAAGCTAACTCTTATCAGGGAAAAAAAAAAAAAAGGCTGGCAGGTTACCACATTTGAACCGCAGTGTGAATTTATATTGGATCAGTATTTTGACTTATGCAGTGCCTACCATGTTTTCCACCTGATATAAGAGCTCTAAACCTAGTTCATTTATAGTTTTCAGGCATTGCTTTGGTAAAGTAGATTGAAAAAGTGCTGTTATGTAAAGTGGAAAGTCTTCTGAATTAGTCTTGACTGTTGTGAACTAGATAAACCTTTATCATCACTCTTTTCAGCTCCACAGTGAGATGAGTCCCTACAGAGACAGAGGCAACACTTTGGTCACCTTTGATCACACTGAGCAGTGCTTGACCCTATATGGATTTACCTAGAAGTTGGAATCTACCCAACAGGGTAAGGCAGTGATTTCTTGTTGACTTGATTCAGAGTGAACAAATCTGCTGATTAGCTTCAGTCAGGCAGGTAATGGGATATCTTCACTGTTCTGCTGTTGTTCAGGCTGTGTCTCTGTGCTGGTTTTGACTGGTGTAGAGTTAATTTTCTTCAGTGACTGGTATGGCCCATGTTTTGGATTTGTGCTGAACACAGCTGATAATTCAGGGATGTTTTCCTTGTTGCTGAGCAGAGCCCACACAGAGCCAAGGCTTTTCTGCCCCTTACTCGACCCCACCAGCGAGGAGGCTGGGGTGGCACAAGGAGCTGGGAGGGGACAGAGCCAGGGCAGCTGACCCCAAGTGACCCAAAAGGGGTATCCCAGACCATATTGGGTCATGCATAGCACACAAAGCCGGGGGAAGAAGGAAGAGGGGAACATTCACAAGGCTGGTGTTTGTCTTCGCAAGTCACCCTTCTGTGTGATGGAGCCCTGCTGTCCTGGGGATGGCTGGGCACCTGCCTGCACATGGGAAGTGAGGAGTGAATTCCTTGTTTTGCTTTCCTTGCACTGCTTTTGCTTTACCTACTAAACTGTCTTTATCTCAACCAGTGAGTTTCCTCACTGTTACTCTTCTGATTCTCTTCCCCCATCCCACCAGGGGGAAATGAGTGAGTGGCTGTGTTGGGCTAAGCTGCTGGCTGGGGTGAAACCAGGACAGTCTCTGAAGGGCAGCCTCAGTGTATCTCACTGGTGTGTTTCATGCTGGGGAAAAAATAAAAATTTAAAAAAAAAAAGAAAAGAAGAAAAAAAAGAGATGGTTTTGCATCTGCAAAAAATACTTTTTTCTTAGTTGAGAATTACCAAGCCCTGACTGAAGCTCCACATCAGAGTTTTGATCTTGTACTGCAATTGCTTAAAGAAGAAGAAGGGGATATGAAACGAGTAATGAGAAGGAACCAGTGTGGATGATGGTAGCTGTGGTCTCCTCCTCATGCCCTGCACATTGTGTGGTAGGAAAGGAGAATTCACCAAGAGGACACACTGAGAGCAGCAGCACTCACCAACAGTCAGGGAAAGCCTGTTGCTGTTTTCATAGATTCATGCTCTCATACACTTGGATAGCCAATAATGTGTCATCCTAGGTATGTGTTTATGTTGTCAGACAAGGAATATCCAGGAATAGCTCTCCATTTTCAGAGCAATTTTCAAGGCTTGATACATCCTGTGGAATCTGTCTGTCCCATCACTCAGACTGTGGACAAGGAAGTGTCGTTGCAGAAGACAAGTTCTCGTCTGTCTCAGTCCATCTGGTGAAGCATCAAGTGTGTGGGAGCACTTGGTCCAGGTAGAGTATGAGGGACAGAGGGACAATGTGCTGCAGAAGGTTAGAAAATCTGGGTATTGTGTGCTCTGTTCATTTGACTGACTGATGAAAACAAATTTTTACCAGTGCACACGTCCTATTTCGTGAGACCTCTTCCTGTTTTCCCTGCTGGGTGGTCTAACTTCCAGAGTGCCTGTGGCAGCCACTGCTTGCACAGCTCAGTGACAGCTCTCAGTAACTCCAGCAGCTGGCAGTGCTCTCTAGAAATCCAGAGTCATTTTTACTGCTTTAGAGCACTTTGCCGAAGCCAGTAAGTACCAGCTCAAACAGGCCTTGAAACTTGGTGGGGGCAGGAATTGGGATTTCAAAACTAAGAGGTTCCCTCAGTACTGAGATGTTTTCTATGTAGGAGTGGTCTGCTTCTTTCTTATTAAATACAAATGCTAGGAATGTAGTATTCAAGTCATACATTTTTTTTGACTGCTTTAATGAGCATGTTATCAGCATTTCTACTTTATTGTATATAGCAGAACAGAAATATTGGCAGTACTGTGCATTTACCACTTGGAATGCAAGTATGACATGAAAGAGGTTTTAAATAGTATTAAATATTTTCTTGTAGAATTTGTAGAAATTGAACTTAGTTATTGGAATAATGTTCTAAACATTCAACTTCCACTCTAATTATCCAGTCTTTCCTCTGCTCTCGTGCCGCTATGGTGTCACAGCCAAAGAAATAATTTAATGAAATGAAGTGCGTGTTGAAATATATATACACACACATACACTTCAGGTTGGCAAATGAAAATAAAAAGACAGTGTAAAAAGCACTTCAACAAATATTATTTAATGTTCAATTTAGCAATTCAGTGGTCATATGTATGTTGGATATGCTGCCACAGTAAATACTGGTCGATTTTAGTCCCTCAATCCTGTGGTCTCTTAGGCCAAATTTGGCACCCCGTGTGTTTGTGTCCGTGCTGTGGGTTCTAACCTGGTGCAGTGCCTGCTGCTGGGAGTGCAGCAGCTGGGGCAGGGAGGTGGCTCTTGGATGACACCAGATTTTCTCTCAGCTGTATGATGGAGTTACAGGGTAGTATTCAAGGCACAGGTTGGCTGTCAATGGTGGTGTCATGCTGTGGGGAATTGCTCAGGGCTGAACCTTTCCTGCAAGCCAAGTCGTGTGTTATAAAGGAACTTGCACATTTATTTTTACTTTATCAGCCTTGCAGTACCTGAAGGGGCCTACGAGATTTTTTTTGCAGGGCCTTTTAGTGATAGGCAAGGGGTAATGAATTTAAACCAATAGAGGGCAGGTTTAGATTAGATATTAGGAATAAATTCTTCCCTGTGAGGGTGGTGGGGCCATGGTACAGGTTGCCTGGAGAAGCTGTGGAAGTTTTCAGGGCCAGGTTGGATGGGGCTTGGAGCAACCTGGGATAGTGGAAGGTGTCCCTGCCCACGGCAGAGGGGTTGGAACTGGATGGTCTTAAGGTCCCTTCCAACTCAAACCATTCTAGGATTCTGTGATTTTGGGACCTTCAGTAAAAATAACTTGCCCAGTTTTCCTGAAATACCCTGCTCTGTGCAGCCTGCACGGCTCTGAAACAGCCATCTGGTTTCTTTTGCTGCCTCTGCTGCTACATCCTGAGTACAACAGCAATTTGCAGTTACTCTCTTTTTTCCTTCTCCCATGTCCTTCACCTCCAAAGCACAGGCCCTCGCTACAGAAGCATCCATGTGGGTCTCCAGGATGGAAAAACTGAGTGAACGTTTTTTTCTTCCTTTACAGAGCAAGGAGGTTCTTTACAGAAGAATCAGCCTGATGAGCACTGGTTTTCATGTGCTTGCTTTGTTTGCATGGTAGGAAGGCTTTTTCTGTGAATGGGAGGAATGTTTAGCATCTGATTTTCTGAACTGAAAAGATTTCCTGTCTGTATAATTAGCCTTATTTATGCAATTAGAGCTTATCCACTAATTGCTTGGTTTTTTTTTTTTTTTAGTTTGCTTTCCTCTGTGTAGAATATTCATCAGACAGCTCATGTGGAGAAGTCAACAAGATTGTTGTCCTTGTTCTGGTTTTTGTGTCTCTACAAGGAATGCAATTGTCACTGAAGCAATGAATTGTTGAATACAATCTAAACACCACTTAATGTCAGCTTTTTTTTCCCTGAGTGACATGATGATGAATTCCAGAGGAAAAAAGTGCCTTAGAGAAATTTCATCAAATAAATAATCTAATTGTGCCTAGAAATTCTATAATGACCTCAAGACTTAGGAGCTGCCAAATATACTGCTTAGAATTAGCCACTCTTCTTGAGATATCAAAATAATATACAATGAACACTGCAAAATCTGCTTACTCTAGAACTTAACGTATCTCTTAAAACCTAATTCATTGTGTGCAAATGACATTTGCTTTTATAACTGTAGCATGTATTCATGCTCTGGATTGTTCTTGTCTGTCTCTCTAGCACACTAGGGACTGTGGTGCATCCTGTATGTCTTAGAACTTAATCATTCAGTTACTCAGTAAAAATAAAATGGTGTGAACATGCTCATGAGTGAGAGCAATCAAACTCAATCACAGAAAAAGACAGTCCAAACTTGAATGTCATCCAGATAATTTACCAGGCTCAGAATACAAAACATTTAACGCGGAACTGTCATGTTTATAGAAATTTTAAGGATTGTATAGATTATATAAGAATAGCAATGGAATTATGATTGATAGAAATAGCAGAGTTAGAGTAATTTCTTCTTAATCCATAAGCAATCCAGTCAAACAGAAATATTCACAAGGTAAGCACAGTGGAATTTGTTAAGCTGGTGGTTGTGCTGCTTTCTTCTCTCAGAGAAACCAGCTCTGCAAGGCTTCACCCTGTGCCGGCCTTTGTCCCTTGTAGTGCTTTGTTATACACCCTACAAGACCTGCTTTGGAGAGGACTGAACAATTTTGGGGAAAGCAGGCAGACTGAAAAGGTTGCTGAAAGCCCAGTGCAGCAGTGTGGTGTCTGCATGTTTGATTCTCTGCTGTTCTGCACATGGACTTGTGCTCATTTGCCAAACCGGACCTGCCAGGGCAGCAGAAGGGAACACTTCATCTCCCTGCTAGCAGGAAATGGCACATTCCTTTCAACTTTCAGGCTGCATCCTGACTCTTTGCTCAGGCAGGCTGTGTATTCAAAGGGTTTTAGGAGGCCAAATTCAGTGTAGTTGATTCCATAAACAAATCACTTCTCAGTTCCTCCTCTCTGTAAAATAGAAATTACAGAGGAGTGTTAAGAGCTTGGGGTGAAAAAGCTCTGCTCAGTGACGTTATTTGTGATGTGGTAATACATCAGGGAAGGCAGGATTAATGGTCAGGTAATTCAAAGACTGGCAGGATGTTCCTAACTGAGAGTGATAGAAGTAGTTCAGACACCGTGACTAAAAATCAGCCATTGATACAACTGTTATTGCTGTTGCTATAGAATGCATAAATTGTATTCCTTCTGTCTTGTAGTTTGATTTGCATAGCTATAAACTCCCTCCCTTAATCTTCAAATAAAAACACACCTACTTCCTACATATGCCCCTCTTTTTGCCTGAGGCAATGTAGGAGTTGATCCATTAATATCTTGGCTTGTTTTCTACTTAGGTGGATATTGTCACTACCATCCATTACCAGTTTTTAAACACCTCTAGATTTGGGTTTTCCACTATTTTTGTAGCCTCGTGTGACAAAAAGTATTTCTTTATATTCAGTGTTTTCATTTGGAAAAGCCCAGGTTGTAATGCTATCCCAGTTGTCATTATTTTTTGCTAATTCTTTAGAGAGATTCTTCAGCTTTGGTAAATTCATCCAGCAGAATATGGATGGCAACAGAGAAATATTTGACAAAAATTCTGGTATTTCAGGAAGTCTCATAAAAACTGTCAGAACTTTCATTAACTCATAACTCCCTCTGGATTGTGTCTCTATCTCTTTTAGGGCCCCTGAGATCAGCCTTTTTATTTCACTAGGCTGAAACTTTTACAGCAGACAGTTCCCAAATGGCATATCTAGCTGCAGCCTTGTATTTTTCTTTGTTAATGCCAGTAGTGTTAACAGCATTGGATTGAATTAAGCTTTACTAAGGCTGTAGCAGTTAGGATCTTCAAATGGTTTTCTCTAGGGCACTTCTTCCTCATAAAAGAATAATTTGAAAAATTAAAAAAAAAAAAGCCTAATGCTGAAGAACTCACAGGAAGGGCTTCATTGCTGTCACTGAATGAATCATCCACATCAGGCTTTTTTCTCCAAACTCTTTGAAAGCAAGAGTGCCTTGAACAGGTGCTCCAGGTTTGGAGAAACTTAAGAGAGGGATTTCAAGCCCTGCATTCAGAGCTCAGATTCAAGTGACATTATGAATAGCTTAAATTAATTACCCTGTCCAGTGAGACTGGATTGTCATATAAAATATTCTAAATCAAACAAAACAGTATTTCAGTGAGAAGCCATTGTCTTTACCACTCTGTCACTCTTGCAAGGTGTGAGTAGTGCTGTGGAGAGTGTATTGCAAGACTTTTTTTCCCCACGATAAAGCAGCCTTGGAAGGGATTACAGCAGCCAGGCTCCTGAACAGCCAACATGCAACTAGAGATGTGTTGTTTCAGGTACCTGGTACAAGAATATATTGAGGAAAATGTATTGGGAGGTTCCGTAGTTTCGTCCTCTTGGATAACTTACCGTCAGTGTAAGTTGAGTTGCATGTGAATTAAACCTCTGTCCAGCTGCAATTTGTGCAGACTTTTACCACAGCTCCTGTGTGTGGCACACCCCCAGCAGCTTCAGGGCTGCAATCAGGTGCCCCTCTGTTTCGGGTTCCAGCTGCTGCAGTCAGTCAAATAGGTGAAATCCTAGTAGGACCTTTCCTTCCTCTCCTTTCCGGGGTGGCATGTGCTCTCTTTACACTTTTTTGTTGCTTTTAGCCAAAACTGGAGAATTTTTTTTTAATTTCTGGCAGTCATGCACTGAAGTGCTTCCTCTCCCCTCTGCCCGTGGAAAATTCCCGTGCTTGTTACACGTTGTCATGGTCTGAGACCCCCAGAAATCCAATTTCTGAGTCTAAGCCCCCCTCCCACAACTCACCCCAGTGTGAGAGGGGTTTTCCAGACACAGCACAAGACACAATATGGGGGAAAGGGAATTATATTACAATTATTACACGAATAAATATTATAATACATTATATACACAATCCTAACTATCTCTCCTATGATAAAGCAATATTTACATTGGATCAAATCTCCTCTCCCTTTAATAAAAGTCCAGAAGGGAAGAAGGAAAGATTCTTTCCCCTTATGGGCAGCAGTGTCTCTCTCTTCAATGCAGCAGTCGTAGCTGGAGTTGTTGTAGTTGGATCTCTTTCCATTACACACAAGGGGGTCTCCTCTCACCCCTCTTGGCCCTTCGACTCCAAGCGAAGGTCTCTCTCTCCCGTGGACTGCGAAGCCGGGACAAAAGCTCACCTCACCACGTCATATCACGAAGTGCAGGGGTCTTTGTGACAGTCTCTTCCTCAGGGGATTTACCCCCTGAGTCAGAATGTTTAGGGCAGCTTTCAGTTCAGTCTTTGCCCTAAGCATTCTATCAGAGCTCCTCTGCTCTGTCTCAGCTGCCAGCTTGGCAGGAGCAGCAGGGGCGGGACAAGGTCACCTCCTCTGCATTCCATCCGGCCCTCCCGGTCCAGCTTCCAGGACTTCTACGAGTTTCTCAGGTCCTCTCTGCAGTGCATGTTGCATTTTAGGACTTCCACCAAGTAGGAGTCCACCCCCTCCTCCTAGGAGGGGTCTCAAAGGGGTTTTGGGGAGAGTTGATTCAGTTCTTACCCCAAAACTGTCTCTGTTGAGCTTTCTCTCTCCTTCTCTCTCTCTCTCTCCCTCTCTCTCCATCAGACATCTCTGTGTCTCTCTGCTTAGCTGCATGCTGACTTTGCTGCTTGTTTCTTATCTTCTTGGCTTTCTGCCACAGTTCTCCGTTCACTGCTGCTCCACCACTGCTTTCAGTGTCTCTGGCTGTCCACTCACAGCAAGGAAACTTCCCCCAGCTCTTAGCTACAAATCCTTGGCCCAGTCTAACACTGTTCCAAGTTCCTGCAGCCCCCCACCCAGGTGCTGGGGGGGCCCCAGCCCCCAGCCCCCAGCAGGGCTCCTGGCTCTTCTCCCCTCTTGGCCTAAAACATGGCCACTTCTTCCACAACTGCATCATCATCCTTCTTTTCCAGTCTGGTGTGATATGTTTAAATTTTGCAGGGGTGCTGATTGGGTCAACACCAAGAGAGACACCACCCCCTCAGGGGTTACCATTTTTTTAACTCCAGGGGGAAAACCACTTTTTTTCCCCACCACACACATGCACTTCTTGGAGTGCTCCTATAGCTTGTTAAACACAGGAACTCCCTCTTCCCAGCGCCGTGTTCAGGATGCCTGGAATCTGCTGGTTTATGGCTAGCAGATTTCTGGCTTCCTGGGAGGGAAGAGTATTGATTTACATACCCAGTAAATATCTTGTAGGCAATTTTCCTTTCTAATCATTGTTCAATAAGCACAGCTGGACGCAAATAAATTGACATTATAGTTAAGGCCTCCTAACAGCTCCACTCACATTTCCTGGGGCCTTTCTGTAGCCTCTAGGATTTTTATAAAGATTTATTTCCCCTAAATATAATTACATTATAATCTAATTACTTTCTTACACTTCTTCTCATAATTAACTTTCCTATGTTTAAAACTTGAAGAAAGAAATGAGATAGAACACACTGCTTTATTAATCTGAGGAGTGTATCTTATATTTCTTAAAATAACTTCTGATTTTTGTTTTATTTCATTGGTCTGGTTGATATGATCTGTAAACATCTTCTCAGCCAGTGCCAAATTAAAATACTATGTACTTGATTTTTATTGTACATCAATAAAAACATAGGTGGTATGAATAGCAAGAAGGAACAGACACATGGTTTCATTCTATTTTAAATGGTAATGTGTTATATCTAATCTGCTAACGTGAAACAAATATTGATAGGCCTGAACTGGAAAAAATGCACACATTAAATTCAGTTTCTTGTGTTAGTTTGTAGACCAAGTATTTTCTTATCAATTTCCTTTATACTAATACAGAAGTTCTTGATTTCTACTTTTCTTTTTTTTTTTTTAATTCTGTTGTAATTTCATACAGAGATAGAACAATTTTGCACTGGGAGAACTACATGAAAATCTCTTTGGAATGGATATATTTTTATTTATTGTTCATCGGTATCTACTGAATAGTCTTAAAAAGCAAATTCCATGATAACAGTCCATGAGCTCTTCTGTTTGTCTTTCTACAGCTTTGTGGTTTTCCATTGGACCAACCAATGGACTTGCATGACTAGAAATTCAGGCAAGCAAATTCCATAAGGTAAGTGAAATGTTGACTGACACACATCTGCTTTTCATTCTTAGAAAGTGTATTTTCTTAAAATTTAATAACATTTTGAGGATCAAAGAACATGATAAAAATAAATTATCTGAATACCTAGGATAATTCTACAAATAGCAGTAGAGAGATCCCACTGTACTGGCTCCCACAATGTATGAAAATATTTTTTTAAATTTTGTTCTCACATATAGAGAGTGTTTCAAGGAAAAGTCAGAGGGGAATATATATCTTTTTTTATGCAGGTTGAACTTTTTAAAACAGAACTGAACTCAGTTTCAATGTTCTATATTCCGTACTGAAATTCTTCTAACATTTTTATATAAAATAGGGATTTGGGGGTTTATCTCCTGTTATTTTCATGATAGAAAACCTGTCACTTTATATGAGGAACCCACCCTATTGTTTCAGATAAATTCTCATGCCATTCAATGGAAAATAACAGTCCTCTGCTGCAATTCTTCACGTTTTCCCTCAGTGTGGCCACTGTGCAGAGCAGGAGCAGTTATATAGCTGCTTGAGCTGGGGTCATACTGGTCTGCAGGAGGAATTGGAAGCAGTTCCTGGTTTTACAGCAGTGGCACTAGGAAGCACCATTCTCCTTTTAGCACCCCCCCTCCGATATTTGACCTGATATCAACATGAACATTTTTCAGAAGAGGCAGCTTGAGACGTTTCAGCAAAAAGTGCTAGAATTAATTTTGCCAGTTTGGCAAGGGTGTTGGGAGAACATAACCTCGTGTATCCCCAGTGCTGTAGCTACGAAGCTGAGTTTTATAGCAGAGGAGATCCCAAGGAACGACACCGACTGTCCCTCTGCCGTCTGGCCCAGCCTGGTTGCAGCACATGGCCAGCAAAGGCATCAGGAGAGGGCAAGGTCGCCGTGCTCTGCCCTCCCCTGCACTGACTCAGCTGCTGCTCAGTGCTCTGAGCACTGCCAGGGCACTGAGGAAATGGAAGTGTGGTCCAGCAGTTCCCAGGGCAGCTCACATCTGGAGATATGCGGAGGTCAATAAAGCTCCCAGGGAGGCAAGAAGCTGGAATGCTTTATTGGATTTACAAGTTCATATTTAAAGGGTTTAGGATCTACATATTCAACAGGGGGTGGTAGCTATTACAATTTGTTACAAACAGGGGGTTTCAGGGGATGACATAAGGGAAAAACCTGACTTACACAATTCGGAGCTTTCACAGAGATGACATCAGGGGAAAATCCAAGCTACACTTCTTGGGGTCTTAGGAATTACCTCATGGGGAAAAACCCATCTTATCTTAGGGGTATTGCATGGGGGGAACAGGTAAAGAAGATATAAAAAGGGAGAGATAAAAAACAAAAGGTCTTCTGCACAGGTTTGATGAGATCAGGGCAGGGTTTCTCCAGGACAGGACATTCCAACCCCGTGACATCAATGGATCCTTGTCTGGATTCTAGATGGAGGCTTTTTCTCAGTCTCTGTCAGCCCAAGGCTTTTGTTTAAACCTAGCAGTTTTCTTTTTCTCATATCCAAATTTTGAAATCCAACAGAGATACACAAGGCACAGTTTCAATAATGAAAGAAAGGCTGACTGGGGTGGAGAGGGAGTTGCAGAGTCAATAAGAAGAGTCAAAAAGGGATAGTTTTCCCCACTTTAATCTCCCTGGTATGAATATTAGCTGTGGAAAAACTGAAAGGTCATTCAGGCCTGAATCTAGAGCATCTCTTTTTTGGATGAAGTGCCTTTCTTCTTGACTTTAGTAGAAGTGCATAGGACAAAACTGAGATCACATGTGAACTGGAATATAAACCCACTTTTCCTTTAGTATTTCAGACTCCTCAGCCCAAATCTTTTAAATGGAAAATACCTAAAAAGTCATTGTGGTGAAAAAAAATCAATTTCCAAAGTTTGTTTTACCACTAGTCATCGGGTATTTAAATCTTTGCCTTTTGTCAGAAAAACACCTTTGATAAAGGCCACCTTCCATATATATAGATTTTGCCTTTGGAGATGAAAGGGAGCCATCTGTGAGGTGTCTCTATTTCCTGCTGGGAGCATGCTCTATGCACTGGGCACCAGACTGGTGAGGACAGAGGTCACTGGGACCCTGAGGGTGGCAAGAACAAACCATGCCACCTCTCTGTCTCTCTTTCCCTGCTTATGTATTTTGCCTATTAAATCACATCTGTCACCTTTATCACCTCCTCGTTCTTTAAAGATGTACTTCTCTTTGCTGCTTTTTAAACATATCCTTTTGAAAACTTTCTTGCTCTATACCAGCTGTTTCCTTAAGATCTTTTGGCTTAGGATTTTGCCTTTGAGTCTATATATATATAGGCTGGATTTTTGTTGTTAGTATACCTACTGCTGGCTCTAGAAAATATTTTGATATGTAATGAGGCAAGACTTCCTTCACAAAATCTGTTTCTCTCTTTGCCAATAAGTATATTTGTCTATGAAGGCACTCATTCTAGTCTTTAAAACAGTTTCCACCAGTTTGCTTGGCTTTCTGCTCCATGTTTGCCCAGAACACCTTCAGTAACAGAGCAAATTTAAGCCAGAAGTTAAATACCACCATTGGTAGTTAAATCTTGAGTTTCTTTATGTTATAGGCAGTTCTCATGTGGTTCTGGTCGTTTGTTACTGATCATTTGTTCATTAGAAAACCTTTTTGGGTGTCTCTGTCATTAATTTTTATTTGAGATATTTTTATTTATTTTATTTGATATATTTGAGGCTCTCTTGTAGAGAGAGATTCCAGAATAGGAATCTTTCCAGTCTTCTCCCCCCCAAAATATGTGCAAGAAAAAAATAGAAACAAACCCATAAAAACAAAAAAATGAAAATCTGATCCAGTGCAGGGCTTCCAACAAAGCCAAGAGTTGCTTCCTCCTCTCTGAGTTTCCTGGCTGCCCATTAAATACTGATTCCTGCTAACGTATCCCAGTATGTTTATACTTTCCACTGAGCATAAGTGAAGTTTTCCCATCACCACGTTGTTCCACAGTTGAAATATAATAGTGATAGTATTTCATTTCAATGCTTCATTTCATTGCCCAGAATATCAATTCCGTGGGATCACATCTGAGTAAACTGTCCAGAGGGCTTGGCCAATTAGTTTTAAACTACTCTTTAACATATGATTCTATTTACTGTTTGGTACAGCTTACTCCATCTTTTATACATGCTTTGATTTTCTGGTTCCAGGGTCTCTGATTGTTTTCTTTCCACTAGGATGCCTAGTGCTTATTATGCCCACATTTGATATTCTCAGTTAAAAGTGTGCAGGGCAGCAAGTCAGGCAGGCAGTCAGGTTCCCTATCTTATTGCTTAGATGGCTGCAGGAAAACATGGATAAGTTGCTTTTATTTTTTTTTTCTCTGTACAACTGTTTCTTTTATGTAGAACTGTTGCTTTTCTTTGCTGTTTCCTATTTGATTGTCTCAAGCTTCCATCCTATCCTTTATATAAATTCTTTTAACTTCCCCAGTGAGCTTTTCTGCACCCATCAGCATTCTTCCACTTTCCCGTTTCAGCAACTTTACACAAACCTTGGCTGTGTTCCTGGGAGGTGAATTACCCAACACTGGAGCCTGCAACTTGTAACTGAGGTTCATGACCCAAGAGTGTATTTACCTCTTGTGAGGACGATTTCTTATGGACCTCATTTCCAGCTGGGGTTCAGGACCCTTGTAGCCAAAAGGGGCTGTTGGCCTTTAAGTGTTGGCTGCTGTGAAGGGTCTGTGTTGTGCTGACATGCACATAAGCCCCCCCAGGGAGCAGCTGGCTGATGCCTCTGTTGAGCAGTGCAGCATATTCTTCACCTTGTTGGATATTTTAACTTCCTGCTTGGGTGGGCTGCCTTTCTCAATCCATCCTGTCAGTGCTTGCTAATGGGCTGCCTCTTATTTCCTTGTTGGAGCTCAGACTGACCACAACAGCAAGCTTTTTTCCCACTATTTCTAGCAGTAGTTTTACAGGCTAAAAACGTGTATCTGCTAAATTCAGTTTCCAGAAAGCATTGCTAATCCTTATGGCAGAATCGGGACTGAAGGATCCCGGGCAGACCTCTCCACAAACACTGATGTGTTTAATATATTCTTGATATTCATTGTGTCTCCAGTAATTTGCCTTTTACCTAGAAAGGCACATCAGCAAGTGGCTCTCCTACGTTTACTCTTAAGTAAATTGTAGTGTTAAACAGGTTCTTTCTGAAACCCTCCTGGTTGCATAAGCCATGTGATTCTGGATACAACAATCTGATGAGGCAGAACAGTACTTGGGTGTGTTAAGTGGTGGTTATTGCTTGCATTTCAGTATATTTGTATTGAGGGTCACTCTCCTGGAAGTAACAAACATGGAAGAGGGATTAATTCGAGAGTCCCAAAGTCATTGTCTAGAACAGGAGGTTTGCAGCTATCAGACAGAAAGCATCAACTTTCTATTTTTGGAATTAGTAACTTTGGTCTTGATGAGCAATGATAAAATCATGCAGAACATAATTCATTAAAACACATTTCATTGGGATCATTGGTGAGGTTTGCCACCTGTGTGGCCTCGTGCTTGCCCAAGTGGATTGTAGGTCATAGAAATATGTCAGGAAACAGCTTACAGGGACACCTATTTGAATACTCAAGGTTGAACATCTGCCTCTCCTAATCTGTCACTGTCCCACTAAAAAAATAATTTCTGACATTCAGTCAACCAAAAATATCCCTGGAACAGCCCAGTGGTTGGTTCAGTAGGAGTTTGTGAGTGGAAAGAAACCAGTTCGATTTGCACGAAATACCTTTTGGTGATAAAACCTCACTTTTGTTGCTGGCTGGAACAGGTACAGACCTTCTCATGTTTCTCACTTTAATTTGGCATTGATGAGTTTTTGCAAACATGGCCTCTGTGTTTATACAGTCATTCTTTGCTTGTTTCTACCAGTCTGTCAAAGGCCACACTGGGGTTTTGTGTTTGCTTTTTTTGTGTGTGTGTGTTAAACATTGAGCAGCAAGCCA